AAGAGGAGCCACGTCGTTATAGGTACGCCTGCTTTGTGCAGATAAAGATTCGTGACATTTTTAAAGGGGTTTGGCGTATTTTCCTAACCATTTACATAATGTAAGATAATAAGTGCCAGGTTCGGTACACCGAATGTTGGATTTATACTTTTATTTTACTGTTATGAAAAAAAATGCTATTCGTGTGTTTATTGGTTCCATTATTTTCAATGCATAATACGCACTATTACAAAGTACTGTGCGTATTTAATAATCGTTCTTATTATTCCATTACGAAATATGGTCCAGATATTTTGAATAACTCGATGACTGTTTCATGTTAGCATAGTGGAATTTAATTATGAATAAATTGATAAACGATATTTTAATAATTTCATTTTATTTTTTCATTTTCATTTATTTATTGATTCATCTCTTCACAACTTCTTACTGGCTAGTTAACAATAACAATGTAGTAAGGACCTAACGTTGTAAGACACTGGTTCCTATTATAGGTTAGGTATTATAGGTTATAATCAGGTCACCAGGCCCCCCTCGCGGATAGGTTACATAAACTACAAAGTACAATACAGAAAGAAAATACTCGTATATCATATAAGAGTTATAAAAATTTACATTATTGGCGATTTGAAAAATTCATATAACGGATATGAGCGGATATGAGTAGGTTAACGTGTATTTACGCGTGTGCGTGTGCGGGTGCGTGTGCGTGTGTGAGTGCGTGTGGGTGTGCGTGTGGGTGTGCGTGTGCGTGTTCGTGTGTGTGTGCGTGTGCGTGTGCGTGTGCGTGTGCGTGTGCGTGTGCGTGTGCGTGTGCGTGTGCGCGTGCGTGTGCGTGTGCGTCGTGCGTGCGTGCGTGCGTGCGTGAGCGTGTGCGTGTGCGTGGTGCGTGTGCGTGTGTGTGCGTGTGAGTGTACGTGTGCGCGTGCGCGTGCGTGTGCGTGGTGCGTGCGTGCGTGCGCATGCACGTGGTGCGTGCGTGGGCGTGTGCGTGCGTGCGTGGCGTGAGTGCGTGCGTGCGTGCGTGCGCGCGTGCGCGCGTGCGCGCGTGCGTGTGTGCGTGTGTGTGTGCGTGTGTGTGAGTGTGCGAGTGTGCGTGCGCGCATATCGGCATGAGGTTTTAGAAATAGTTATATGAGTAATTTACTCGTTTCAGAAAAACAGAAGTATTAAAAGAAGATTCTCAGTTTCTTGGTAGTTAAGAGTTTTTAAGAATTTTGACAGTGTTATTTTACAACTAGATTTGGTTTTGGGATATATGTCTAAAATTTTATTTAGTTTGTTATAAAGAAAGGGTCCCATGAAGCAGCAAAATTTACGTGAAAGAGCTGAGTTGAAAGTTTTGCATATTAATTCTTTGCGGCGCTTGTACTTAAGAAGATCTGGGTTATAATGTAGATAAGAATGTTGTTTAAGTACGATATGCAGGATGAAGGTTTGCCTAACCGTAAGTACATCACATTTTTTATACAGCTCATCTGTAGAAGAATGGAAAGTAGACCAGAAACTGCTTTGGGAATGGTACGTTGTGCACTATCTACTTCGATAAGATATGTTTTGGCACCTCCTCCCCAACATGATATTCAATATCCAATTAAAGATTTACATAAAGCGAAGTAAACTAACATTATAACATGGCGTTCTGCTATATGTTTTAAGGTTCTGAATATATATATATATATATATATATATATATATATATATATATATATATATATGTATGTGTGTGTGTGTGTGTGTGTGTGTGTGAACTTTCGCAGACGGGAAACTAAAGCTTTAAAGTGGGGTTTAATTGTTAAAGTCTGATCAATCAAAATGCCAAGATATTTGGTTTTGTCGGTTCTATCAACTAAGGGATAGTGACATCCGGGAAGTCTAACACCACAGGTGTGGGCTGTGATTGTCAAAGAAAAGGGCAGTATCATCAGCATAGGTGATTATTTTTTCTTTAGAGGGCTGAAATTAGCATAGGTCATTAACATATACCAAATAAGTGTCGGGCCAAGAATGCTGCATTGAGGCACACCAAAGTTGATAGGTAACTCGTTACTTAATATATAATGATCTAAACGAACTCGCTACCTTCTATCGATAAAATAATCTTCCATCAATTTTAGTGGAATACCCTTTACTATTTTTTTAGCAGATGAGGGATAGATACTGTGTCAAAGCTTTAGACAAGTCAAGGAACACTGTTATATACTTGTTTTTTCAATCTAAATTAAGTAAAGTCATGTCAGTAAGATCATGAACAGCATCATTAGTAGTCTTACTGCGTCGGAAACCAAATTGATTGGGTGAAATAAAATTATTTGACACAACCTTTGATTGACTAATCGCTCCAAAATTCGCCTCGGTTTCTATCGGTGTGATAAGGGCTAACTTAAATGCACTAGGAAATACTCCGGTTTCTAAGGCCAGGTTGTATATTCGTAAAATTGGCAGTGTTAATATTTTATATACCTTTTTATAATTTTTCCGGAGATCAGATCACTTCCCGTAACGCAACTTGTCTTTTAACCCCTTAATGAGCTGGGAGATTTCTACTTCGTCGGCAGGAACCATAACAAGTGAATTAAGGGGGATTTTAGTTAAGAGGGGAGAAAAATTACCATCAGGTGCAGCTAGTACAGTTAATTTGCTCGGCCCGTCTTGATCCCACATTGGCAAAATAACTGTTGATATTATTTACTCTCTCTTTTCTCTCTTCCGAAATGACAAAAGATATGTGATAAGAGGGTTGATTAGGTGTCTTACACTGTCTAATTTTCTTTATAGCTTCCCATAGTTTCTTATTGTTGCCTTTAGTATTTTTTATCTCTTGTTTTTCGTAACTCGGTTTCACTTTTCTTAATAACGTGTTATAAAAATTCCTGTAACGTTTGTAAATCCTGATAGATTTTTTTTCAGTTTTTTATAGAGGTTGTCTCTATTCCTCATACACAGAAGACGACTTTTGGTTATCCACAGCTTACTAATGCCTTGTCTAATGGGCGTTTTAACCAACCTAGTGTTGTTTGTGATGGCACTATATAAGTACGATACGAGTATATTTGTCGCTAAGTTAGCATCAGTGCTTTCAATAACTGGCCGAACGTTTATATTAGATATCGATTTACCCAGTCCCTCAAAATCGCTAATATATTTTTTTTATAAAACTGCGAAGAGTGGGTGAATTGATTAAGACTGATAGCTACGGTCTTATGGTCAGTAATAGATGATTCAAAAACGAAACAGGTAACAGGTAGCTTCCAGGTTGGTCTCTATCATTACATGATCTAAACATGTCCGTCCCTGGGTGGGTACAGTATGGCCGGGTAGAATACAATCACTTGCTAGTACCTTTAGATAATCATGCGAGCGCTTATGATAGGTGTTAGAGACTGTATCAATATTAATATCACCACAAATAGTGATATTTTTATAGCTGCTCAGTTTTAAAAGAGTTAACAAAATCGTATATGTTAGTTTTACTCGGCGGGCGGTATATACCAATAATGCAAGTATATGACTTTAATTTTAGTAAGAGGCAATTTGCATCACTTAAATGAGGTTCCTCATAAGTGACGTCAGTATTTTTATTGTAATATATTACAACTTCCTCATTTTGAGAGTTATGAACAGTCGTCTCTATGATAAGATAATTCTCAAGATCAGGTATTTGCCTCGTTGGAGAAAGCCAACATTCTGATATTACGACTCTAATATCCCAGGATAATTCTTATCTGTTTAGAAGAATCTGTGAATGCTGCGTATATTTTGACACAAAACATTTAGTTTACAATTGTTGTTTAAAATGTGGTTTTTTTAACTCATCAACGTCACAGGTAATCGCCTAAGCCACTAGAAAAGTGTCCAGATCAAGGTTTAAATTTTCAATATTTTGCATTCGTATCTACGAAATACAGTAATATCTCGTATGCAAAATGAACTGACTGCGTCCTGAAGTCTTGCAGTGGTATGCTTGGGTTTAGTTTTAATTTGATTGATTATAGGGTCCCAAGCAGATAGTAGTACCCAGACTCCTTCTCTATTGAAATTAGGATGTTTTTAATTTCAATAGCTTATCCTTGGTAGGAATCGGTGTTCTTTTGCAAAGATTTGTGGTCTCACAAATCTGATGTAATGGTTGCGGCCGTCTAGGATATGATCACAAACTGCAGATTTTCCGGAACGTTGATGCTTTACATAACTGATGTGAGGAATCAACGTTCCGGGTATCAAGCTACTTCGGGTTTAACAATGACGTCAGGACGTCAGTCATCTCAGTTCCCCGTGACCATAGGTGTTGGAAGGCACCCGATACGTTGGGAATTAAAATAATTAAAAATTAAACGCGATAAAATCCGTAAAAGTAGTTTTAATCAATATGTAGTGTTCGTGTAAATATAAGTAATCATTAGATTTTTTTCACCGGGACGATTTCCTTTTGGTCCCATTATCAAAGGTATCGTTAGAACAATCGTCTGTCTTCGTTTTCGGGAGCGTTTCACAAACACCCGTTGCGTGATGTTTGCTTGAGATATATAATGAGCACACACATTATATATCTCTGTAATTCGCTAGTGAACAAAAAAAAAGTAATTGTAGAATTCAACAGAAATGTATATTAATAAAAAAAAATTGAAAAAGTTAAGTAGTAAAGAAAAATAGAAAAAATAATACAACAGAACAAATACTAGTCACAAAGTAAGTTTATATAGCTCTGATTCGCGGTCAACACGAATTGGCTTAGTTCCTTCTTCTTTCTTCACATAGATCTTTCCATAAGCAGTCCATGCAGCGAATAGTTTTTTGTTCTTGACAATTGAATATATTTCTTATCTCTGAATCCTGAACGGGAGTATTCAGACCGAAAGTTAAGGCAAGTTAATGGATTATATTGTTCAGGACTATCTTATTTTCGTTAGCCTGTACGTATTTCAATTGAAGTAACCCGCGCGCATTTTTCAAGGAGGTCTAGTTTATTTTCTTAGGTGAGGATTTGCTACTTATATTCATTATTTTCTAGCTCTAAATGATTTATTTTTGATAATAAAACTTGATGTTGGTAAGTAAGTCTCAACAGATTTTTGAATTTCTTGATTTTGGGTCACTATGGTCATGAGGGCGGTATTCAGTAACTCAAATTTCTGATCTTGTTGAGTTTTAAGCTCAGCAAACATTACTTTGATTTCAGAGATGGACGACAAAAGTTGAAATGGGAGATCGCCTAACGTACGTTTAAGACTCTTTGTAATCTTAATATAATTATTGTCATCCGAATCAGGGTTACTTGAAGTGTTAAGGGCTGAGTCTGAGTTGTAATGCATTGTAGCATTTTGTATATCCAGATGCTGACGAGAGCCGGGCGAAGTCCGCTGCGTTGACATCATTAATATAATTAAATTAATAAGGAGGTATACGTAAAAAACTTAAGGCTAAAACAGCCGTGAGAGCGAAAACACAATATGCGTAGAATATAATGTATGAATTGCTACGCGAAAGCAGAACAAACGTGTAAAATAAGGACAGAAAAATGCTGTTTGAGTACGTAGGTGAAGTTAGTAGTTAGGTGACTCTCGTTGTTATTTCTCGTCTTCGTCCTACGACGTATTGTACCGTTCTTTCACTGCAAGTTAGCTCTCTGATGCTATGTGCTCCCAGTATGTTGAAGAGAACTATATAATATATGCCTTCATAGCATCTTGATATATGTACGCTTGGTACTATATCCATTCACTACCATTGACCATATTTCTTGCGGAATTGACTCGCATAAATCCTAAATGATATGCACTCCTAATTCAACTAATAAAAATACTAATTAAAACTGTTCAATTAGTGAACATGGATAAAATAGGCGACTCACACGATAGACAAATTGTTTATTTGAATAATCAATATATAACTAAATTGGTGGTGATCGGGTCGCGAGCTATCGGCGAGTGACAGTCTAACCGAATACCGATAGGACCGAAGACCCCCCCGCGCTTCTCGTACTTCCCGCGAACACCATCGGTGCTGTCGTAACGGCGCCGACACTAATGTTTGACATCTTATTTTTCCTATTTCACAAAATTAATTTTGCAGTTTGATATAGCACTATAAATACGTCTGAATAACGCAGAATCCGCGAAGGAAGGGGGATAATAATTTACTGTTCTACGAATATTATAGATATAATTTTATGGAAACTAAACTAATCCCAGATTAATGTCTACGTAACAATACGTTGCCATCCACCACTAAACACAAAAATAAGTACAATAGTCATATGTAGTCGTATATGATGAGGCAGTGTTTGTAAAAAATACTGTTCCTGACATCACCGAAGATTATTCTACCCGGCTAGTATCGCCGGCAGCGAACGTCAAACCGGTTCTGTGAGCGCTTCGTAGCCCCACCACCATCGTGGACACAACGCAGCACTACTACGCACGCTACTTGCTCGAAACCACCCAGTTGCGATCTTTTATATAATATCAGAACCAATAAAATTATCTAAACAGTGTGCATATTAAAGTATTTATTTAATTCAAGAATTCCACCAGTACAAGTAGAGCTTGTTACTCAACAACTAAATATAACGCTGACGTAATGCTAAACAAGCACAAGATACGAATCACACTACAAAAAGCGTTTTCCACTACCTTGCGAGTGCTTTAATCAGTTCAAACGGATCAGCGCCCAGTCAAAGACGTTTATATCATATGTAAAAAAGCGAAGCTAGATCCTATTATAGCATTGGCATGGGCAAAATCGAAGTCAGAAGGTGTAGTTAGAAAACTATAATAGCGGCTACAAGTATCTTCTATTGTAGGGAATATAGACAGTGAAAATAAAAGCACTGCTGTATTCCGGGCTACAGGATAAAGAGAGCCAGTATAATTAAAAGCTCTGGGGCTTCTTTGTCCCCAGGGATGACTGCGCATCTCTAATGTTTTGTTTGAAGTTGACATGGGCTGTAAGAGCCATTTATTACTAGGTGGGTTGTTAGTTCATCTGTCATTACGGTTTAAAAAAATCGATTAAAAATACATGTGCAACCTACTATCAGTGCGATATTAATTTTTAATTATGAGTGTTGTATCCATACGTCAAAAATCTTTAGTTTTTTTAATATTCCACTTGTTTTTCTTCAACAGCTCACAATAATCCACTTTGAGCGTTGAAGTGAGGATTTGCCTTTATAGTCTCGCCTGACAAGCGAATTGACGATCGCAGAACCAGAAGTTTCACACATTTGAAGCTAGTGCCCGTCATCGGCCAAGATATTTTACAAACATATACATAAATATAACCTTATTTAAATATAAGCTAATTCTGCAAATCACTCCTGCAACATTAATTTACTTTGTCACTATTTCTTTATTTATTTTTATATCTTACGATTGGCGTAAAGCCATAAAATGTAAAGCAAGCAACCGACAAGTGAAACTACCAAGAATCGCCCTCTACGACACTCACAAGACGAAGGGGTGATGTAGTCTAGAGACTACACACGCCACTACATAAACCATATTTACATCTTATTCACCAGATTAAATTTATCCAGGAAAAAGATCTCCAATAAATAAAGATTTAGTTAAATCACTACTTCACTATAATATTGTGTACTTTATATAGGGTTTATTTATAGGGTTACTTTGTAATTTTTTACAGGGTGTCAATTACAAACACGTACTTGTACTTTAATAAGTATTTACGCTACCGAAGCATTCAATCGATCGGCCTATTAAGTTTATTATAGTTAAACATTTATCAATTAATCTACTGTTAAATATCACACCGAAACAGTTAATTTATCAAGTAACTGATATCACCGTATCATATTACCATTCTGGCCGGGTACATGGAGCACCTACTAACCACTAACTACTGCTACCCATAAGTACGTTTTTTGAAGTTCCTAATGAAGTGCCACATTACCTGTAACAATACTGCCTATTTTACCCTTTTAAGAGGAACACAGTAGTTGCAATGATACTTAACACCAGAAAAAAGTAAGAGTACGATACCTAAAGAAACAGATAATTTAAGGGTCCAACCCCCTTCATAAGCCTAGCATACCAAGATGATGATGAAATTATATTGAATCACAAAATAAATGTATTATAATGTAAAGTGGTTTAAGAAATTTTGTGAATTTAAAAAGCATTTTACATTACGTTAAATTAAATTATATTGAAGCCTTGCCTGGCTTCAATATAATTTATTTTACGTCTGACAAAGCGTTGTCACCTATATAAAAAAGTTAATATATAAGGCAAAATCCGTAAAACCTAGTTTTATTTAAATCATATTTATACGTAAACATCGAAAACTGAAGTAGGGGTCTACCCTACATAAAAAGAGGAATAATCTGTGTTTTATTCAATGGGACGGGCTTAGTGGGTAAAGTATTTGATTACATCGGGGAAGGACCACGCTCTCACAGAATACCAGCGTCAAATTGTAGCTTGATGCTGCTGTGTTTCGTATGGTGAGTGCAGAGAACCGGAGACCCTTTTTACTGGAAACGAGGAATTCCATCTTAGTCTTCACGGGTGACGCATCTGCATTTTGATTCGTAATCGAGGATAGATGTAGGTAGATTTCTATGCGCCTCAGCAACCACTTACCGTCAGGTGAACTGTGTGCTTGCTTGTCATTCTATACTACAAAAAAGCATTCATGGCTGTATAAGGTAAAATCCTTTTTCCCTTCATTGTATGTTCGTTTTGGAATACGAGGTAAATACTCCAAGGAAAAATATCACAAAATTAAAAATTTACTCAAACAGTTTTGTATCAAACTGTCTAACTATTCAATATTAGTCAAAAGTCAAAACTAGGGCAATCACTCCGTGGGATAGACAAAGAAATATCCATTATGTTTGTGTGACGATTTGTCAAAGTAAAAAATAATTTGTACCTGCGTGTGTAACAACATCTTCGCATTTCTCGCATTCTCGCAATCTCGCATTTGTTATATATGTTTTGTGGTGGTAGTCGATCCCCCGATATGTCTCGAGTAAAACTTCTTTTATATCGCACAGTGGTAGACCGTCCCTGGTGAAATTGTGCGGCTGGAATTAGTCCTCATAGCATAATAGATAAATATATAAATAGTTTCTATTATATATTTATTTTTGGTAAGTATATCTGATTACACAAAATTAATTCTTGAAAAGCGTAAAAGATTTTCGTTAAAGATGTTGTGTTATTAGCAAAAGTAAATAAGTTGTTATACATCTCCCATAATAATAATAATAACGTCCTCTAGACCGAATTCCGGCCACGGCGGCCTGTCACAACGGAGGCTACCCATCGGCGAAGGATAGGATTATAGTGCCCAAGTGTATGCGCAAGCACAGGTGCATTCTCTATTCCCTCAGTCTCATAATCCGATGGTACGGTAAACCGACACGACCGGAGAGAGATTAGGCTCAGGACCAACGGCTTTACGTGCTTTCCGAGGCACAGGGGTAAGACACCGCCAACTTCCTGACTCCGAGCAACTACTGAGAATTTCTTGACGGAAAAACTCAATAATTAAATTTTTTGCCCCGACCCGGGATTTGAACCCAGGACCTCATTGATCAGCAGTCGCACTACTTCAACCACTAGACCAACGAGGCAGTCAAATCTCCCATAAACTTAATTTGAAATGTCTAAAGTGTCCTTAAATATAAATTGAAAAAAGCAATAGAACATTTATACCACATTTATTTATTACATTACTGAAAATTGTACAATAGTGAATGTGATAAAATCCCTTACAAAAACTATGACAAAAACAAGGCATTATCGAGAAGTACTATAGAGAAAAAGTAATAAAACATTTTCAATGAAGATACACGATTATATTGCGCATGGAACAGCCGTTTGTATAGACTACTAATAAGTAAAAATAAAATCTCTTTATTTCGGACAAACATACATAAATGTTAGTAGGTACGAGGAAGTTATAGCTATGTTAGTAATAATTAGGTACAGGCACGAATAATTAGTTTAAGTACACACCAGGCCTGTCTAAGGCGCTAGCTTTATGCACATGCATAGTCACCCAGTGTCTCATAACAGTACAATCTGGTTTGACACTAATAGCCTTCAGTATGGTATTGGAGTTACCACGTATTCTGCACATGAGCGAGGCGACCCGTTTTCGCCACACCGTCTCGAAGCTATCGGTACGTGCTTACGCATACATGTCCGATGCGCTGCAAAATCTCGGCAAACTCTACATCACACTGAAGGCATTATTGTACTGTACTCGGAGTGCGCTGAAAGCCCCCCACGTATTATCAAACCCACAGATTACACGTGTACTTTGTTTGACAGAAGGCTTTAAACAATGTTATGTTAACTTCTGTGGTACATGGTGAAAATCTTCGGGCTAACACATTGCA